TATGTCTCTGTCCATTTCTTTCTCCCCCCCTTCTTTCTCCCTCCCCCCCCCCTCCCCCCCCCACACACTCTCTCACGGCGCAGGCTAAGCCCCGACAACTGCACAACACCCACTGGGGCTTCATCTGTCCGGCCGAGACCCCGGAGGGTCAGGCCGTGGGTCTCGTGAAGAACCTGGCGCTCATGGCGTACATCAGCGTTGGCTGCTCGCTGTCACCTATCCTGGTTAGTGCCGAGCTGCGTGTGTGTGTGTGTGTTTTTTTTTACCTGTTCGCTCCTCGTGTCTTGTTGTGTTTGCTTTTGTGTCTGGTGGTCCTCTTTCTTTTTTGTTTTGGTCTTTGTGTGATTTGTTTTTTTCTCCGTGTAAATTAGTTTTGTTTTTGTCGCTGGCTGTGCATCCGGGAGGGGTTGAAAAGGAAAGTGGCCCGAAAATGGGTTCACGAGGTTGGAGAGGGAGGGACACGCACACACACACACACGCGCGACAGCGTTTATGGGGTGCCGGTCGTGACAGCAGTATGTATAACACTAATAAACGAAAAAGAACATGCGATAGTTGTACAAGTACTATTTGCTGCTCGTGGCAACCGCGCCACTATCGCCGGTCGCTCTGTGGCGGGCACTGCATCACTAGACATACACACTTGGTACATGTAGTACACGGCCATGGTGTATTGGCGTGCTTGCATGGATTCGTGGGTAACTGGAAAAGCATTGTCCTTTAGTTGTCATATATCGTTGTCATCTTGTTTCTCCGCGATGTGTTGTATGTTGCTTGGTTGTTTCGCCGATTTATGTAACGGACACGCACGTTCGCGTGCACCCTTACATACACAGCACCCGCGACGCCTATGATACGCGCTCACAAGTTTATTTTCTTGCACAAGTACAACGCACAAACCAAGAAGGCCTCCCACCCCGAGCTTAACAAGAGTGTGGCGTTTTTGGAAGCATGTTAACCCTCACACCCAGGGTCCAAAACGACGCAGTTTTTCCCCCGTCCAACTATAATTGGCTCACGCGTATTGCTCTTTCTTTGTCGCCGCCACATTGTGGCCCCTCCTCCTCTTGCCCGAGAACAGGAGTTCTTGGAGGAGTGGGCCATGGAGAACCTCGACGAGATCGCGCCGCACATGATCGCGCAGACCAACTGCACCAAGGTCTTCGTGAACGGGAACTGGGTGGGCGTGCACCGCGACCCCAACCGGCTGGTGCAGACGCTGGTGCACCAGAGACGGGCGCTGGACATCGACGTCGAGGTGTCGGTCGTGCGGGACATCAAGGGCAGGGAGCTCCGGCTCTACACGGACGCGGCGAGTTTACTACCGTATGCGTGTGCACATGCAGTATTCCTTGCTGTACTTTTTTGCAAATATGTGTTCAGCTACAGAAGACTACCCGTTGGGGATATAACCACAGCAGTAGAAGGGGATGTGCTGAAGTCTTTTTAACTGTGTTTTTTATGTTTGTTATTTTCTGTAACAAAGTATGTACGAAGTAGATTTGGTAGTGTAGCTGCCCGGGGCCGGTCGTGTGTGTCGGGTGGGGTTTTTCATTGGCCTGTCGCTGTTGCTGGGGCGTGTTTTGGACGGCGACTGGGGCACAAGAGCTCTGCGCGCGTCTCGACAGGCAGGGGGAGCGACAACTACGGCGTCGTCGCCCCACCCCAATCAAGCCCATTTTTTGGCATCGTGTGCAAGAATATTTCCCCAGAAAGATCAATTTTTGTCTGCTCCCCCGTCACTCATGTTCGGTGCACATTTTTTGTTTTATCTCTTCGGCGACCGATCATATCCTGATGTGCTGCCGACTGCCTTGGGGACGCGCGCTGGCGGCTTCCCTCTACCCTGCTGAACTACAATCGCCTCCTTTCGTTTTGTTGTTCCTTGTTTGTCGTCGTCCTACAGGGGCGAGTGTGCCGGCCGCTGTTTGTGGTGGAGAACAACCGCCTTCGCATCCGCAAGAAGCACATCAACGACCTGCACGACCCCAACTACGGCTGGACGAACCTCATGCAGCAGGTGCGTGGTTGCTGTTCCTTGTCTTTCCATGTATGTGTTTCTTGTCTTCAACGCATGTGTGTTCCTTATCTTCCATGTAGATACACATGTGTGCGTGAGAGCGCGTGAGATTTCTTGGGTGCTTTTCGTTCTGCTTTGTGAGCGTTTATTAGATTGTTGGAACGCCTGTTTTTTTGTGTCAGGCTGCGAGTACCGAGTCCAATCTCTCTATTGTGGGCAAGCGCAACAGTGAGAATGAGAATACATGCAACGAAGGAAATGGCGACCGGTTGATGAATCTAAAGTTGACCAAGTCTTTAAGAGAAGGAGGTGGGTACATGGGCCCAGAGAAAAGAAGAGGCATCGAAGGCAGAATTGGTTGGCCGAAGTTCACATTCCATAGGTCGGGTGTGGGTGTGTTTTGTGTGTTTTCAGTTTTGGGGACGAAATTTGAAATATATATATAAAAAAAAAACACGATAATGATCAGGGCGTGGTGGAGTACATCGACACGGAGGAGGAGGAGACGACGATGGTCGCCATGGAGCCCAAGGACCTGGAAGAGTCCGGCGGGTACTCGAGCACCTACACCCACTGCGAGATCCACCCCAGCATGATCCTCGGCGTGTGCGCCTCCATCATCCCCTTCCCGGACCACAACCAGTCCCCGCGAAACACATACCAATCGGCCATGGGGAAGCAGGCCATGGGCATCTACGCGAGTAACTACCAGGTGCGCGCACGCACGCGCTGCGTGTGGTTGTTTTACTGCGTTGCATGCAGCATACGCTGAAGATCATGTGAAATGACCGAACCAATATCTTGGAACCACAAACGGAACACCCTCGCGCACGATCCTCGATCCCTAGTTGATGTTCCGCGTTGCAATAGTGTCAAATGTAAAATGAACGAGAACCTTTTCTCTCCGTCCCGGCATGCAAGGTCAATGGTCAAAGCCTGCGTCTACACAAGAACAGCCCCCCCCCCCCCCCCCCCCCATCCACAAAAAACGGTTGGGCCTGGGTGAACCGTCCTGGGGGAACCACTCCCCGTCCTCCCGAGGACGCGCGGGCCGTCCAACCGCTAAAGGATTCAAAAAACAAAAATACGGCCCCCCCCCCCCCCCCCCCCTTTTATA